GAGAGACCTGAGTTTGAACCCCGACAATAATAAGCTTAATTTTCTTTTGTAAATTTGCACGGCATTTGAAATTGGATTACTTGTTTCGAATCTTCGATTGATAAATTCTAGAGCGTTGACAATGGATCACTTTTTCTAAACATGATTGGTAAAATCTGGAGCGTTAACAAATAATTTATTTTTTATGAGTCGTTTTAGTGGTACAATGGGGAGTATTTCCGCTTCTCATTCGAGTTATTATGTTCCAGAGGTCGTTGTAATACAAGGGCAAGAATTCCTGCTTGTCACTCAGTGACCCAAGTTTGATCCAGAACAATAACAAGTTTAATCTTGTTTTTACAATTTTAGTCGGATTCAAAATTGAATTACTTTTTGTAACGGCCATGGATAAAATCTTGTTTGTAAACAAATATTTTATTTTTGGAAAGTCGTCGTTGTAGAGTGGTGAATACTCCCACGAGTTTGATCCCCCACAGCGACACTTTTTTTTTTCTTTTGAATTCAAAATTCGGTAGTGGTTAACGGGATGATTTGGGTTTGTTCCCCAACAACGAAATTCGAGATTGGATTCCTTTTTCTCTCGCAACAACGAAATTCGAGATTGGATTCCTTTTTCTCTCGTGTGTTAACAAATAATATATTTTTCAGAGGTCGATGTAATACAGTAGTGAGTATTCCCGCTGGTCACTCGAGAGACCTGGTTTTGAACCCCAAACATAAAATCTAGAGAGTTGACAATGGATCACTTTTTCTAAAGACGATTAGTAAAATCTTGAGCGTTAACAAATAATTTATTTTTTATGGGTCGTTTTAGTGGTACAATGGGGAGTACGTCCGCTTGTCACTCGAGTTATTATGTTCTAGAGGTCGTTGTAATACAAGGGTGAGCATTCCTACTTGTCACTCGAGTGACCTGAGTTTGATCCCGAACAATAACAAGTTTAATCTTGTTTTGACAATTTTAGTTGGATTCAAAATTGGATTACTTTTTGTAACGGCGATTGATAAAACATGGTGTGTTGACAAATATTATATTTTTTGAAAGTCGTCGTTGTAGAGTGGTGAGTACTCAAGCGAGTTTAATATCCCGAAGAGACGATTTTTAATTTCTTTTGAATTCAAAATTCGGTAGTGGTGAACCAGATGATTTAGGTTTGTTCCCCAACAACGAAATTCGAGATTGGATTCCTTTTTCTCTCGTGTGTTAACAAATAATATATTTTTTCAGAGGTCGATGTAATACAGTAGTGAGTATTCCCGCTTGTCACTCGAGAAATCTGAGTTTGAACCCCGGACAATAATAAGTTTAATTTTCTTTTTATAATTTCACCAAATTAGTAATTGGATTACTTATTTCAAAATTTAGATTGATAAAATCTAGAGTGTTTAATGAATCACTTTTTCTAAAGGCGATTGGTATAATCTGGAGCGTTAACAAATAATTTATTTATTATGAGTTGTAGTATAGTGGTGAGTATTCCTGCCTGTCACGTATGTGACTTAGGTAGGTTTGATCCTTGAAAACGACTATTTTAGTTTTTTTCTTTCTGTATTTTTAACGAAACTCGAATTTTGACATTGGTGAACTTGTGTGGTAGGTAGTTTGGGTTCGATCCCCAACAACAGTAGTTTGAAAAGAAAGTCGACTAAAACATTGTTTATGAAATCTTGAGTTTGATCCCACACAATAACAAGTTTAATCATGTTTTGAAAATTTTAGTAGGATTCAAAATTGGATTACTTTTTGTAACGGCGATCGATAAAACCTGGTGTGTTGACAAATATTATATTTTTCGAAAGTCGTCGTTGTAGAGTGGTGAGTACTCCCACGAGTTTGATCCCCCGCAGCGACGACTTTTAATTTTCTTTTGAATTCTAAATTTGGTAGTGGTGAACCGGATGGTTTGGGTTTGTTTCCCAACATTGAAATTCGGGATTGGATTCCTTTTTCTCTCGTGTGTTAACAAATAATATATTTTTCAGAGGTTGATGTAATATAGTAGTGAGTATTCCCGCTTGTCACTCGAGAGACCGACAATAATAAGCTTAATTTTCTTTTGAAAATTTGCACCGCATTTGAAATTGAATTACTTGTTCCGAATCTTCGATTGATAAAATCTAGAGAGTTTACAATGGATCACTTTTTCTAAAGACGATTGGTAAAATCTTGATCGTTAACAAATAATTTATTTATTATGAGTTTAGTATAGTGGTCAGTATTTCTGCCTATCACGTAGCTTAGGTGACCCAGGTTCCATCCTCGAAAACGACTATTATTTTAGTTTGTTTCTTTCCGTAGTTTTAACGAAACTCCAAATTGGACACAGGTGAACCTGTCATGCCGGTAATTTAGACAGAGGTGAGTATTTCCGCTTGTCACTAGAGTTATTATGTTCCAGAGGTCGTTGTAGTGGTACAGTGGTGAGTATTTCCGCTTGTCACTCGAGTTATTATGTTCCAGAGGTCGTTGTAGTGGTACAGTGGTGAGTATTTCCGCTTGTCACTCGAGTTATTATGTTCCAGAGGTCGTTGTAGTGGTACAGTGGTGAGTATTTCCGCTTGTCACTCGAGTTATTATGTTCCAAAGGTCGTTGTAATACAAGGGCGAGAATTCCTGCTTGCACTCGAGTGACATTAGTTGGATCCCGAACAACAACAAGTTTAATCTTGTTTTGACAATTTTAGTCGCATTCAAAATTGGATAACTTTTTGTAACGACGATTGATAAAATCTGATGTGCTAACAAATATTATATTGTTCAAAGTCGTCGTTGTAGAGTAGTGAGTATTCCTGCGAGTTTGATCCGCCGCAGCAGACTGTTTTTAATTTTCTTTTGAATTTGAAATTCGGGATTGGATTCCTTTTTCTTCCGTGTGTTTACAAATAATATATTTTTCAGAGGTCGATGTAATACAGTAGTGAGTATTCCCGCTTGTCACTCGATAGACATGAGTTTGAACCCCGACAATAATAAGTTTAATTTTCTTTTGACAATTTTCACCGGATTTGAATTTGGATTACTTGTTCCGAATCTTCGATTGATAAAATCTAGAGCGTTGACAATGGGTCGCTTTTTCTAAAGACGATTGGTAAAATTTGGAGCGTTAAGACATAATTTATTTTTTATGAGTCGTTGTAGTATAGTGGTGAGTATTCCTGCCTGTCACGCAGGTGACCCGGGTTCGATCCCCGGCAACGGCGATTTTAGTTGTTTTCTTTCCGTAATTTTAACGGAACTCGAAATTGGACAGCGGTGAACCTATCATGTCGGTAGTTTGGGATCGAACCCCAACAACGGTAGTTTGAAAAGAAAGTTGGCTGAACAATTGTTTATGAAATCTTGTGTGTTAACATATAATATGTTTTCAGAGGTCGTTGTAGTGGTACAGTGGTGAGTATTTCCGCTTGTCACTCGAGTTATTATGTTCCAAAGGTCGTTGTAATACAAGGGCGAGCATTCCTGCTTGCACTCGAGTGACATGAGTTGGATCCCGAACAACAACAAGTTTAATCTTGTTTTGACAATTTTAGTCGCATTCAAAATTGGATAACTTTTTGTAACGACGATTGATAAAATCTGATGTGCTAACAAATATTATATTGTTCAAAGTCATCGTTGTAGAGTAGTGAGTATTCCTGCGAGTTTGATCCGCCGCAGCAGACTGTTTTTAATTTTCTTTTGAATTTGAAATTCGGGATTGGATTCCTTTTTCTTCCGTGTGTTTACAAATAATATATTTTTCAGAGGTCGATGTAATACAGTAGTGAGTATTCCCGCTTGTCACTCGATAGACATGAGTTTGAACCCCGACAATAATAAGTTTAATTTTCTTTTGACAATTTTCACCGGATTTGAATTTGGATTACTTGTTCCGAATCTTCGATTGATAAAATCTAGAGCGTTGACAATGGGTCGCTTTTTCTAAAGACGATTGGTAAAATTTGGAGCGTTAAGACATAATTTATTTTTTATGAGTCGTTGTAGTATAGTGGTGAGTATTCCTGTCTGTCACGCAGGTGACCCGGGTTCGATCCCCGGCAACAGCGATTTTAGTTGTTTTCTTTCCGTAATTTTAACGGAACTCGAAATTGGACAGCGATGAACCTATCATGTCGGTAGTTTGGGATCGAACCCCAACAACGGTAGTTTGAAAAGAATGTTGGCTGAACAATTGTTTATGAAATCTTGATGTTTTCAGAGGTCGTTGTAGTGGTACAGTGGTGAGTATTTCCGCTTGTCACTTGAGTTATTATGTTCCAGAGGTCGTTGTAGTGGTACAGTGGTGAGTATTTCCGCTTGTCACTCGAGTTATTATGTTCCAAAGGTCGTTGTCATACAAGGGCGAGAATTCCTGCTTGCACTCGAGTGACATGAGTTGGATCCCGAACAACAACAAGTTTAATCTTGTTTTGACAATTTTAGTCGCATTCAAAATTGGATAACTTTTTGTAACGACGATTGATAAAATCTGATGTGCTAATAAATATTATATTGTTCAAAGTCGTCGTTGTAGAGTAGTGAGTATTCCTGCGAGTTTGATCCGCCGCAGCAGACTGTTTTTAATTTTCTTTTGAATTTGAAATTCGGGATTGGATTCCTTTTTCTCCCGTGTGTTTACAAATAATATATTTTTCAGATGTCGATGTAATACAGTAGTGAGTATTCCCGCTTGTCACTCGATAGACATGAGTTTGAACCCCGACAATAATAAGTTTAATTTTCTTTTGACAATTTTCACCGGATTTGAATTTGGATTACTTGTTCCGAATCTTCGATTGATAAAATCTAGAGCGTTGACAATGGGTCGCTTTTTCTAAAGACGATTGGTAAAATCTGGAGCGTTAAGAAATAATTTATTTTTTATGAGTCGTTGTAGTATAGTGGTGAGTATTCCTGCCTGTCACGAAGGTGACCCAGGTTCGATCCCCGGCAACGGCGATTTTAGTTGTTTTCTTTCCGTAATTTTAACGGAACTCGAAATTGGACAGCGGTGAACCTGTCATGTCGGTAGTTTGGGATCGATTTTTGGAAGACACAATTTTTTCTGAAGAATTCGCCATGATATAGCTGATCCATGCATAATATCACGAAAAATGGATACAAATTTTTGGCTGCTACTTATACTTAGTATCCGCAATAGGTCTGAAAAAGTATCTAAAAATGGAAAATTTAGATATTTGTACCTTGTCGAAGTAAAGAACCATGGCATATATGTTTGGAATAGATTCCATTTTGAGAGAGTTGAAAAAGCACTATCTCGTTGAAAGGTTCTATACATCTGCCCTTTCTCAAGGCATTTCTTTAGACAAAGACTCCGTTTTTTCCTCTTTTCGGATGGTAAATATTTCTCAGAACATGGAGTGTGAATCAAACCCATGTTTGAATTGAAATTGAGATACTGATGCAAGTTCTTCCCCTCTGAATCAGATAGATTCATATCTGAAAGAGGTTGACAATAAGTTCTTTCAAAATTGACTATTTGTCCCTCTGTTAGAGGTGTTCCAGAAATGTCTGCGATCGAGTAAATAGCTCGACGAACGAATGGATCGGATCAAATTGGAAAATGGAAAGATTTGTACAAGTTATACCTTTCGTTACCACTTTGTGGAAAATCGTTAGGTATGAATATGTTAGATACCTGTGACTCGATTGGTGAAATAGTATCTCTCTCCAAAAAAGCATGTTTTTTTTTACCGCCGCACAAAGAAAATATTTTGTCCCGAATGAACAAGATATTGAGGAATTGTCCATACGTAAAATCATAATTATTGATACGGGCCTTTTCCACATAATCCACATAAAAAGGGAATCTTTTGTTACAATAGAAGCAGAAGTGATGTGGATTATTCAAGAATCGAAGTCGAGTTGCTTTATAAAAAGAAGATATCAATGAACTCTATGAAATGGTTTCACGGGATTTAGCCAATTGTCTTGATCGTGGGATATCATTGAGAAATAGGAATCCGTGTTACCAAAGGATTTCCTGCGATTATTTCTCGTATGGAATGAGTCAATCATCCACTTTGGTATCTTATTGAACAAAAATGGTGATATTGTTCCTCCATTGATCAAGAATTTCGATTTTTGGGAAGTATCATGATCATCCAATAAGAAGGGTTTCAATTTTTTCAAATGAACGATTTGAAGACCTATTGATTCTAACAACTGATTGCAGAGTTGATCATTCGGACCTTTCAATTCATAGATGTGGATCTCGGACCTATGAATGGGGATATTCCCGAAACTCACAAAGAAAAAAGGAAGTGAGTTAGACAAAAAGAGAAGAAACTTGGACAAAAAGAAACGAAGTGACTTAGACAAATCTTTTTTATCGATAACCTCAGACCAATCAATCGAATATTGATTAATACGTAATCGAGCGAACACTACTTGAAAATGAAAATGGCTCTTCTGCTCAGAAATGAAATGTTCCTGGAAATTCTTGCTCCCATTGGACCATTTGTATCTATATGCATTAGGATCCCGATTCATGGATCTCTCGGTTCGAGAAATCAAAATAAGAGGATCGAACCATTTCTTCTGACCCTTTTTCAAATTTGATAAATGTTGGTTGATCGTATATTTCATTATAGTTCTATGATTCAGAGTATCATTTCCTATTTGATCCCTTTGAATTCCATATTCGAAGTTGCGATCGGATCTATTCATTACAAAGAATCGATTCAATACATTTCTTATGTACCCATAGGTGTTATATTGGATTTGAATTAGATTTCCGATCAATCTATATTGATTGACTGCCTCCATTATGTTGTTGCTAGCAAATACCACTATTTTTTGTTTTGGATCTTCCAAATCATTCCCGGGGGAGGTCCGGACCCATTTTTTTCTGATCCTTCGATAAAAAGATTCATTCTCTTCATAAAAAATAGGAGGTAGAACCAATAAATATTTCTTTTTCGATTCATCCCTGGAGTTGAATACCTCATTCAAGAATTGTTTTTGATCCAATCCGTAGGAATCAATAGAAAAGGCAAATCCCTTATGATACACCAAATCCGGCTCGGTTATTGATAGAGTGAATAGATCTGCCATTTCTTGAAATCTCTCTTCTGATTCAAAATCGTGGTGTAACGTGTATCCCCTCCTGTTCCGGTCATGGAATAGATGAAATAAATAAATAAATGGATTTTTGTTCAAGAATGAAATCTTATTGGAACTGTCCATATCCAGTTCATCCTTCGGAACCATATCACATCTCGGATCTGATGAAATAGGATGAATTGAGACGGTATTTTGTAAATACGTAATTATTTTGAATATAGTTCTTTTCTTTCCGTAATTTTAACGGTACTCGAAATTGGACAGCGGTGAACCTGTCATGCCGGTAGTTTGGGATCGAACCCCAACAACGGTAGTTTGAAAAGAAAGTCGGCTAAACAATTGTTTATGAAATCTTGTGTGTTAACATATAATATGTTTTCAGAGGTCGTTGTAGTGGTACAGTGGTGAGTATTTCCGCTTGTCACTCGAGTTATTATGTTCCAAAGGTCGTTGTAATACAAGGGCGAGCATTCCCGCTTGCACTCGAGTGACATGAGTTTGATCCCGAACAACAACAAGTTTAATCTTGTTTTGACAATTTTAGTCGCATTCAAAATTGGATTACTTTTTGTAACGGCGATTGATAAAATCTGATGTGTTAACAAATATTATATTGTTCAAAGTCGTCGTTGTAGAGTGGTGAGTATTCCTGCGAGTTTGATCCGCCGCAGCAGACTGTTTTTAATTTTCTTTTGAATTTGAAATTCGGGATTGGATTCCTTTTTCTCCCGTGTGTTTACAAATAATATATTTTTCAGAGGTCGATGTAATACAGTAGTGAGTATTCCCGCTTGTCACTCGATAGACATGAGTTTGAACCCCGACAATAATAAGTTTAATTTTCTTTTGACAATTTTCACCGGATTTGAATTTGGATTACTTGTTCCGAATCTTCGATTGATAAAATCGAGAGCGTTGACAATGGGTCGCTTTTTCTAAAGACGATTGGTAAAATCTGGAGCGTTAAGAAATAATTTATTTTTTATGAGTCGTTGTAGTATAGTGGTGAGTATTCCTGCCTGTCACGCAGGTGACCCGGGTTCGATCCCCGGCAACGGCGATTTTAGTTGTTTTCTTTCCGTAATTTTAACGGAACTCGAAATTGGACAGCGGTGAACCTGTCATGTCGGTAGTTTGGGATCGATTTTTGGAAGACACAATTTTTTCTGTAGAATTCGCCATGATATAGTTGATCCATGCATAATATCACGAAAAATGGATACAAATTTTTGGCTGCTACTTATACTTAGTATCGGCAATAGGTCTGAAAAAGTATCTAAAAATGGAAAATTTAGATATTTGTACCTTGTCGAAGTAAAGAACCATGGCATATATGTTTGGAATAGATTCCATTTTGAGAGAGTTGAAAAAGCACTATCTCGTTGAAAGGTTCTATACATCTGCCCTTTCTCAAGGCATTTCTTTAGACAAAGACTCCGTTTTTTCCTCTTTTCGGATGGTAAATATTTCTCAGAACATGGAGTGAGAATCAAACCAATGTTTGAATTGAAATTGAGATACTGATGCAAGTTCTTCCCCTCTGAATCAGATAGATTCATATCTGAAAGAGGTTGACAATAAGTTCTTTCAAAATTGACTATTTGTCCCTCTGTTAGAGGTGTTCCAGAAATGTCTGCGATCGAGTAAATAGCTCGACGAACGAATGGATCGGATCAAATTGGAAAATGGAAAGATTTGTACAAGTTATACCTTTCGTCACCACTTTGTGGAAAATCGTTAGGTATGAATATGTTAGATACTTGTGACTCGATTGGTGAAATAGTATCTCTCTCCAAAAAAGCATGTTTTTTTTTTACCGCCGCACAAAGAAAATATTTTGTCGCGAATGAACAAGATATTGACGAATTGTCCATACGTAAAATCATAATTATTGATACGGGCTTTTTCCACATAATCCACATAAAAAGGGAATCTTTTGTTACAATAGAAGCAGAAGTGATGTGGATTATTCAAGAATCGAAGTCGAGTTGCTTTATAAAAAGAAGATATCAATGAACTTCTATGAAATGGTTTCACGGGATTTAGCCAATTGTCTTGATCGTGGGATATCATTGAGAAATAGGAATCCGTGTTATCAAAGGATTTCCTGCGATTATTTCTCGTATGGAATGAGTCTCTTATTGAACAAAAATGGTGATATTGTTCCTCCATTGATCAAGAATTTCGATTTTTGGGAAGTGTCATGATCATCCAATAAGAAGGGTTTCAATTTTTTCAAATGAACGATTTGAAGACCTATTGATTCTAACAACTGATTGCAGAGTTGATCATTCGGACCTTTCAATTCATAGATGTGGATCTCGGACCTATGAATGGGGATATTCCCGAAACTCACAAAGAAAAAAGGAAGTGAGTTAGACAAAAAGAGAAGAAACTTGGACAAAAAGAAACGAAGTGACTTAGACAAATCTTTTTTATCGATAACCTCAGACCAATCAATCGAATATTGATTAATACGTAATCGAGTGAACACTACTTGAAAATGAAAATGGCTCTTCTGCTCAGAAATGAAATGTTCCTGGAAATTCTTGCTCCCATTGGACCATTTGTATCTATATGCATTAGGATCCCGATTCATGGATCTCTCGGTTCGAGAAATCAAAATAAGAGGATCGAACCATTTCTTCTGACCCTTTTTCAAATTTTATAAATGTTGGTTGATCGTATATTTCATTATAGTTCTATGATTCAGAGTATCATTTCCTATTTGATCCCTTTGAATTCCATATTCGAAGTTGCGATCGGATCTATTCATCAAAGAGAATCGATTCAATACATTTCTTATGTACCCATAGGTGTTATATTGGATTTGAATCAGATTTCAGATCAATCTATATTAATTGACTGCCTCGATTATGTTGTTGCTAGCAAATACCACTATTTTTTGTTTTGGATCTTCCAAATCATTCCCGGGGGAGGTTCGGACCCATTTTTTTCTGATCCTTCGATAAAAAGATTCATTCTCTTCATAAAAAATAGGAGGTAGAACCAATAAATATTTCTTTTTCGATTCATCCCTGGAGTTGAATACCTCATTCAAGAATTGTTTTTGATCCAATCCATAGGAATCAATAGAAAAGGCAAATCCCTTATGATACACAAAATCCGGCTCGGTTATTGATAGAGTGAATAGATTTGCCATTTCTTGAAATCTCTCTTCTGATTCTAAATCGTGGTGTAACGTGTATCCCCTCCTGTTCCGGTCATGGAATAGATGAAATAAACAAATAAATGGATTTTTGTTCAAGAATGAAATCTTATTGGAACTGTCCATATCCAGTTCATCCTTCGGAACCATATCACATCCCGGATCTGATGAAATAGGATGAATTGAGACGGTATTTTGTAAATACGTAATTATTTTGAATATAGTTCTTTTCTTTCCGTAATTTTAACGGAACTCGAAATTGGACAGCGGTGAACCTGTCATGCCGGTAGTTTGGGATCGAACCCCAACAACGGTAGTTTGAAAAGAAAGTCGGCTAAACAATTGTTTATGAAATCTTGTGTGTTAACATATAATATGTTTTCAGAGGTCGTTGTAGTGGTACAGTAGTGAGTATTTCCGCTTGTCACTCGATTTATTATGTTCCAAAGGTCGTTGTAATACAAGGGCGAGCATTCCTACTTGCACTCGAGTGACATGAGCTTGATCCCGAACAACAACAAGTTTAATCTTGTTTTGACAGTTTTAGTCGCATTCAAAATTGGATTACTTTTTGTAACGGCGATTGATAAAATCTGATGTGTTAACAAATATTATATTGTTCAAAGTCGTCGTTGTAGAGTGGAGAGTATTCCTGCGAGTTTGATCCGCCGCAGCAGACTGTTTTTAATTTTCTTTTGAATTTGAAATTCGGGATTGGATTCCTTTTTCTCCCGTGTGTTTACAAATAATATATTTTTCAGAGGTCGATGTCATACAGTAGTGAGTATTCCCGCTTGTCACTCGATAGACATGAGTTTGAACCACGACAATAATAAGTTTAATTTTCTTTTGACAATTTTCACCGGATTTGAATTTGGATTACTTGTTCCGAATCTTCGATTGATAAAATCTAGAGCGTTGACAATGGATCGCTTTTTCTAAAGACGATTGGTAAAATCTAGAGAGTTAAGAAATAATTTATTTTTTATGAGTCCTTGTAGTATAGTGGCGAGTATTCCTGCCTGTCACGCAGGTGACCCGGGTTCAATCCCCGTCAATGGCGATTTTAGTTGTTTTCTTTCCGTAATTTTGGACAGCGGTGAACCTGTCATGCCGGTAGTTTGGGATTGATTTTTGGAAGACACAATTTTTTCTGAAGAATTTGCCATGAAAATTTTTTCTGAAGAATTCGCCAGATATAGCTGATCCTTGCATAATATCACGAAAAATGGATACAAATTTTTGGCTGCTACTTATACTTAGTATCGGCAATAGGTCTGAAAAAGTATCTAAAAAAGGAAAATTTAGATATTTGTACCCTGTCGAAGTAAAGAACCATGGCATATATGTTTGGAATAGATTCCATTTTGAGAGAGTTGAAAAAGCACTATCTCGTTGAAAGGTTCTATACATATGCCCTTTCTCAAGGCATTTCTTTAGACAAAGACTCTGTTTTTTCCTCTTTTCGGATGGTAAATATTTTTCAGAACATGGAGTGTGAATCAAACCCATGTTTGAATTGAAATTGAGATACTGATGCAAGTTCTTCCCCTCTGAATCAGATAGATTCATATCTGAAAGAGGTTGACAATAAGTTCTTTCAAAATTGACTATTTGTCCCTCTGTTAGAGGTGTTCCAGAAATGTCTGCGATCGAGTAAATAGCTCGACGAACGAATGGATCAGATCGAATTGGAAAATGGAAAGATTTGTACAAGTTATACCTTTCGTCACCACTTTGTGGAAAATCGTTAGGTATGAATATGTTAGATACCTGTGACTCGATTGGTGAAATAGTATTTCTCTCCAAAAAAGCATGTTTTTTTTTACCGCCGCACAAAGAAAATATTTTGTCGTGGATGAACAAGATATTGAGGAATTGTCCATACGTAAAATCATAATTATTGATACGGGCCTTTTCCACATAATCCACATAAAAAGGGAATCTTTTGTTACAATAGAAGCAGAAGTGATGTGGATTATTCAAGAANAATGAACAAGATATTGAGGAATTGTCCATACGTAAAATCATAATTATTGATACGGGCCTTTTCCACATAATCCACATAAAAAGGGAATCGAATCTTTTGTTACAATAGAAGCAGAAGTGATGTGGATTATTCAAGAATCGAAGTTGCTTTATAAAAAGAAGATATCAATGAACTTCTATGAAATGGTTTCACGGGATTTAGCCAATTGTCTTGATCGTGGGATATCATTGAGAAATAGGAATCCGTGTTATCAAAGGATTTCCTGCAGCCAATTGTCTTGATCGTGGGATATCATTGAGAAATAGGAATCCGTGTTATCAAAGGATTTCCTGCGACCAATTGTCTTGATCGTGGGATATCATTGAGAAATAGGAATCCGTGTTATCAAAGGATTTCCTGCGAATATTTCTCGTATGGAATGAGTCAATCATCCACTTTGGTATCTTATTGAACAAAAATGGTGATATTGTTCCTCCATTGATCAAGAATTTCGATTTTTGGGAAGTATCATGATCATCCAATAAGAAGGGTTTCAATTTTTTCAAATGAACGATTTGAAGACCTATTGATTCTAACAACTGATTGCAGAGTTGATCATTCGGACCTTTCAATTCATAGATGTGGATCTCGGACCTATGAATGGGGATATTCCCGAAACTCACAAAGAAAAAAGGAATTGAGTTAGACAAAAAGAGAAGAAACTTGGACAAAAAGAAACGAAGTGACTTAGACAAATCTTTTTTATCGATAACCTCAGACCAATCAATCGAATATTGATTAATACGTAATCGAGCGAACACTACTTGAAAATGAAAATGGCTCTTCTGCTCAGAAATGAAATGTTCCTGGAAATTCTTGCTCCCATTGGACCATTTGTATCTATATGCATTAGGATCCCGATTCATGGATCTCTCGGTTCGAGAAATCAAAATAAGAGGATCGAACCATTTCTTCTGACCCTTTTTCAAATTTGATAAATGTTGGTTGATCGTATATTTCATTATAGTTCTATGATTCAGAGTATCATTTCCTATTTGATCCCTTTGAATTCCATATTCGAAGTTGCGATCGGATCTATTCATTAAAAAGAATCGATTCAATACATTTCTTATGTACCCATAGGTGTTATATTGGATTTGAATCAGATTTCGGATCAATCTATATTGATTGACTGCCTCCATTATGTTGTTGCTAGCAAATACCACTATTTTTTGTTTTGGATCTTCCAAATCATTCCCGGGGGAGGTCCGGACCCATTTTTTTCTGATCCTTCGATAAAAAGATTCATTCTCTTCATAAAAAATAGGAGGTAGAACCAATAAATATTTCTTTTTCGATTCATCCCTGGAGTCGAATACCTCATTCAAGAATTGTTTTTTATCCAATCCGTAGGAATCAATAGAAAAGGCAAATCCCTTATGATACACCAGATCCGGCTCGATTATTGATAGAGTGAATAGATCTGCCATTTCTTGAAATCTCTCTTCTGATTCAAAATCGTGGTGTAACGTGTATCCCCTCCTGTTCCGGTCATGGAATAGATGAAATAAATAAATAAATGGATTTTTGTTCAAGAATGAAATCTTATTGGAACTGTCCATATCCAGTTCATCCTTCGGAACCATATCACATCCCGGATCTGATGAAATAGGATGAATTGAGACGGTATTTTGTAAATACGTAATTATCTTGAATATAGTTGTTTTCTTTCCGTAATTTTAACGGAACTCGAAATTGGACAGCGGTGAACCTGTCATGCCGGTAGTTTGGGTTCGATCCCCAACAACGGTAGTTTGAAAAGAAAGTCAGCTAAACAATTGTTCATGAAATGTTGTGTGTTAACATATAATATGTTTTCAGAGGTCGTTGTAGTGGTACACTAGTGAGTATTTCCGCTTGTCACTCGATTTATTATGTTCCAAAGGTCGTTGTAATACAAGGGCGAGCATTCCTACTTGCACTCGAGTGACATGAGCTTGATCCCGAACAACAACAAGTTTAATCTTGTTTTGACAGTTTTAGTCGCATTCAAAATTGGATTACTTTTTGTAACGGCTATTGATAAAATCCGATGTGTTAAAAAATATTATATTGTTCAAAGTCGTCGTTGTAGAGTGGTGAGTATTCCTTCGAGTTTGATCCGCCGCAGCAGACTGTTTTTAGTTTTCTTTTGAATTTGAAATTCGGGATTGGATTCCTTTTTCTCCCGTGTGTTTACAAATAATATATTTTTCAGAGGTCGATGTAATACAGTAGTGAGTATTCCCGCTTGTCACTCGATAGACATGAGTTTGAACCCCGACAATAATAAGTTTAATTTTCTTTTGACAATTTTCACCGGATTTGAATTTGGATTACTTGTTCCGAATCTTCGATTGATAAAATCTAGAGCGTTGACAATGGATCGCTTTTTCTAAAGACGATTGGTAAAATCTGGAGCGTTCAGAAATAAATTATTTTTTATGAGACGTTGTAGTATAGTGGTGAGTATTCCTGCCTGTCACGCAGGTGACCCGGGTTCGATCCCCGGCAATGGCGATTTTAGATGTTTTCTTTTCGTAATTTTAACGGAACTCGAAATTGGACAGCGGTGAACCTGTCATGCCGGTAGTTTGGGATCGAACCCCAACAACGATCGTTTGAAAAGAAAGTTGGCTAAACAATTGTTTATGAAATCTTGTGTGTTAACATATAATATGTTTTCAGAGGTCGTTGTAGTGGTACAGTGGTGAGTATTTCCGCTTGTCACTCGAGTTATTATGTTCCAAAGGTCGTTGTAATACAAGGGCGAGCATTCCTGCTTGCACTCGAGTGACATGAGTTTGATCCCGAACAACAACAAGTTTAATCTTGTTTTGACAATTTTAGTCGCATTCAAAATTGGATTACTTTTTGTAACGGCGATTGATAAAATCTGATGTGTTAACAAATATTATATTGTTCAAAGTCGTCGTTGTAGAGTGGTGAGTATTCCTGCGAGTTTGATCCGCCGCAGCAGACTGTTTTTAATTTTCTTTTGAATTTGAAATTCGGGATTGGATTCCTTTTTCTCCCGTGTGTTTACAAATAATATATTTTTCAGAGGTCGATGTAATACAGTAGTGAGTATTCCCGCTTGTCACTCGATAGACATGAGTTTGAACCCCGACAATAATAAGTTTAATTTTCTTTTGACAATTTTCACCGGATTTGAATTTGGATTACTTGTTCCGAATCTTCGATTGATAAAATCTAGAGCGTTGACAATGGGTCGCTTTTTCTAAAGACGATTGGTAAAATCTGGAGCGTTAAGAAATAATTTATTTTTTATGAGTCGTTGTAGTATAGTGGTGAGTATTCCTGCCTGTCACGCAGGTGACCCGGGTTCGATCCCCGGCAACGGCGATTTTAGTTGTTTTCTTTTCGTAATTTTAACGGAACTCGAAATTGGACAGCGGTGAACCTGTCATGCCGGTAGTTTGGGATCGAACCCCAACAACGATCCCAAACAACGGTAGTTTGAAAAGAAAGTTGGCTAAACAACTGTTTATGAAATCTTGTGTGTTAACATATAATATGTTTTCAGCGGTCGTTGTAGTGGTGGTGAGTATTTCCGCTTGTCACTCGAGTTATTATTTTCCAAAGGTCGTTGTAATACAAGGGCGAGCATTCCTGCTTGCACTCGAGTGACATGAGTTTGATCCCGAACAACAACAAGTTTAATCTTGTTTTGACAATTTTAGTCGCATTCAAAATTGGATTACTTTTTGTAACGGCGATTGATAAAATCTGATGTGTTAACAAATATTATACTGTTCAAAGTCGTCGTTATAGAGTAGTGAGTATTCCTGCGAGTTTGATCCGCCGCAGCAAACTGTTTTTAATTTTCTTTTGAATTTAAAATTCGGGATTGGATTCCTTTTTCTCCCGTGTGTTTACAAATAATATATTTTTCAGAGGTCGATGTAATACAGTAGTGAGTATTCCCGCTTGTCACTCGATAGACATGAGTTTGAACCCCGAAAATAATAAGTTTAATTTTCTTTTGACAATTTTCACCGGATTGAATTTGGATTACTTGTTCCGAATCTTCGATTGATAAAATCTAGAGCGTTGACAATGGGCCGCTTTTTCTAAAGACGATTGGTAAAATCTGGAGCGTTAACAAATAATTTATTTTTTATGAGTTGTTTTAGTGGTAAACTGGGAGTATTTCCGCTTGTCATTCGAGTTGTTATGTTCCAGAGGTCGTTGTAATACAAGGGCGAGTATTCCAGCTTGTAACTCTGTGACCCAAGGATGATCCCGAACAAAAACAAGTTTAATCTTGTTTTTGGAATTTTAGTCGGATTCAAAATTGAATTACTTTTTGTAACGACAATGGATAAAATCAGGTTTGTTAACAAATATTATATTTTTCGAAAGTCGTCGTTTTAGAGTCGTGAGTACTCCCACGAGTTTGATCCCCCGCAGCGACGATTTTTAATTTTCTTTTGAATTCAAATTCGGTAGTGGTGATCCAGACTATTTGGGTTTGTTTACCAACAACGAAATTCGGGATTGGATTCCTTTTTCTCTCGTGTGTTAACAAATAATATATTTTTCAGAGGTCGATGTAATACAGTAGTGAGTATTTCCGCTTGTCACTCGAGAGTCCTGAGTTTGAACCCCGAAAATAATAAGCTTAATTTTCTTTTGAAAATTTGCACCGCATTTAAAATTGGATTGCCTGTCCCGAATCTTCGATTGATAAAATCTAGAGCGTTGACAATTGATCACCTTTTCTAAAGACGATTGGTAAAATCTGTTTCGTGAAAAAATAGTTTCTTTTTTATGAGTTTTTTTAGTGATACAATGGAGAGTATTTCCGCTTGGCACTCGAGTTATTATGTTGTAGAGGTCATAATACAAGGGCGAGCATTCCTTCTTGTCACTCAGTGACCCAAGTTTGATCCCGAACAATAACAAGTTTAATCTCGTTTTTACAATTTTAGTAGGATTCAAAATTGAATTACTTTTTGTAACGGCGATGGATAAAATCTGGTTTGATAACAAATATTATATTTTTTGAAAGTCGCCGTTGTAGAGTTGTGAGTACTCCAACGAGTTTGAACCCCCGCAGCGACGATTTTTAATTTTCTTTCGAATTCGAAATTCGGTAATGGTGAACCGGATGATTTGGGTTTGTTTCCCAACAACGAAATTCGGGATTGGATTTCTTTTTCTCTCGTGTGTTAACAAATAATATATTTTTCAGAGGTCGATGTAATAGAGTAGTGAGTATTCCCGCTTGTCACTCGAGAGTCCTGAGTTTGAACCCCGACAATACTAAGCATAATTTTCTTTTGAAAATTGGCACCGGATTTGAAATTGGATTACTTGTTTCGAATCTTCGATTGATAAAATCTAGAGCGTTGACAATAGATCACTTTTTCTAAAGACGATTGGTAAAATCTGGAGCGTTAACAAATAATTTATTTTTTATGAGTCGTTTTAGTGATACAATGGAGAGTATTTACACTTGTAAATCGAGTTATTATGTTCCAGAGGTCGTTGTAATACAAGGGCGAGCATTCTTGCTTGTCACTCACTGACCCATGTTTGATCCCGAACAATAACAAGTTTAATCTTGTTTTTACAATTTTAGTCGGATTCAAAATTGAATTACTTTTTGTAACGGCGATGGATAAAATCTGGTTTGTTAACAAATATTATATTTTTCGAAAGTCGTCGTTGTAGAGTGGTGAGTACTCCCACGAGTTTGATCCCCCGCAGCGACGATTTTTAATTTTCTTTTGAATTCGAAATTCGGTAGTGGTGAACCGGATGATTTGGGTTTGTTTCCCAACAACGAAATTCGGGATTGGATTCCTTTTTCTCTCGTGTGTTAACAAATAATATATTTTTCAGAGGTCGATGTAATACAGTAGTGAGTATTCCCGCTTGTCACTCGAGAGACCTGAGTTTGAACCCCGACAATAATAAGCTTAATTTTCTTTTGAAAATTTGCACCGCATTTGAAATTGGATTACTTGTTCCGAATCTTCGATTGATAAAATCTAGAGCGTTGACAATGGATCACTTTTTCTAAAGACGATTGGTAAAATCTGGAGCGTTAACAAATAATTTATTTTTTATGAGTCGTTTTAGTGGTACAATGGGGAGTATTTCCGCTTGTCATTCGAGTTATTATGTTCCAGAGGTCGTTGTAATACAAGGGCGAGCATTCCTGCTTGTCACTCAGTGACCCAAGTTTGATCCCGAACAATAACAAGTTTAATCTTGTTTTTACAATTTTAGTCGGATTCAAAATTGAATTACTTTTTGTAACGGCGATGGATAAAATCTGGTTTGTTAACAAATATTATATTTTTCGAAAGTCGTCGTTGTAGAGTCGTGCAAAACGATAATAAAGCACCTTTGATCAATTTTATCTTTTCATATCTCTTTCACTGTCCCTTTTCCCAACAAATTTGGTATTAGAGCCAAGTTCGTTCAACACGAGGGTGAGTGATTATTTTCTTCATAAAACAAAAATGGTAGTAGTTGGTTTTTCTTCCTCCGCACCGTTTACCAATCTTTAATGGTGAGAAATATGAGTGGTGGAGCATTAAGATGAAAACCTTGCTTAGATCGCAGGAACTATGGGACTTGGTGTAGCACGAGTTTGTTGATCTATTAGAACCCACAATAGAAGAAAAGGAGAGACTAAGAGAAACCAAGAAAA